AAAAAAAAAACAACCCTTTGAGAATCACAAGCAGGCTGAGGACTTCTCAAAAAATTCAAATGCTGAATTTTCATTTGGAGGATGTTGCTCTGTCATTGGTGTTAGCTTGAGTGAAGCGTTTACCCTTATCTGTCTGGAACAAGTCAGTGTCTTGTAAATCCAACTGCTGCATCGCCAGAAGCCTTAATGTTAATATGAAACATCTGCTGCTTGCTCTAAACTTTTTCCATTCACTGCTGAGATCTAAACCTTTGTTGCCTTGTCCAGGAAGGGAAGGAAACTTCCTGCCAAATTACCTGGGAAATTATCCAGTTTACACACAGATGAGGAATGCTTTAATATGCCAGAAAACGACAGAGCAGCAGCCCTTCTGAGTCCTGAGCTGGATTGTTGTAAACAAGTTTACTTCCTCACCTTTAACAAAGGAGTTTGTTGTGACTTTAAATCCAAAGTTGTGCTCAATGACTCTCTGCAGTCTTCAAATGTAGAGTTTTATTTCCATTGCTAGGTGCAGATAAATCCACTTAGTCAGCTGCTCGTAATTCCATTATAAACATCTGTACATGAGCTGTAGGTTTAGTACAAAGTGACAACAAGTGACCAAACGTGTTCGGCCTGTGGTACCATAGCTTTAATTCGGCTCGTCATGCAAGTTTCATTTAACAAACCTGCTGATTATCAGTCCGTTTATAGAGGCCAAACTGACAGAAGCATTGAAACAACAGATAAGAATCCTGAATCCACCGCTGTCACTTTGAATGAAATAAAACATTTTTTTTTAAAAAACAGAATTCATGGGTTTTTGTTTTTCTATTTGAAAAATTGTCCGTACTCTGGAGGTAAGAGCCGAACTGATCGTCTGTGGAGTTTGTCTATAAAAGCTGATTCTTACGCCAATGAATTTCTGCCACTATGCCAAATTCTTTTTTTCTTTTTCTTTAAATGAAGATGTTTTAACAAGAACTGTTTTCTTTCATGAAAATGTTTTAGAAAAAAGAATCAAGAAGTTTATACAGAGATGCTATAAGGAAAGGTCTTTTTATAACCCCTGGCAAAATTATTTTAGGGAAGAAAAAAAAAAAAGTTCTCCAACCTGCAAAGCTCATCTGTCAGCTGTTACACAAGAAAGCTGGAATCAGCTTGATGGAGAATGTTTTTTTTTTCATGGATGAAACCCAGTGTTGATGTTATGGGGGAGCTTTGGGGGTCTATTCACGAAGGTCAGCTGAATTCTACTGACGTTTTTCAACAGTGTTTAATTTGAATCATGCTTGACTTACTGCAGCTCAAGTTAATTATTTAGTTAACAGCGGCTCATTGATTCTGTAACAACTGCAGTAACTAGTTTGACATTTGGAGGAGCACATGTGCCTGTGTAGGTTGGACTTGTGGAAGTACTCTCCTTAGTGTTTCTTTGAAACTAAGGAGAGGTCATTCATCCAGAATTATGGATACGGTTGCTTGTTTTTCTTTAAAGTTTTGTGTACACACACACTTTTTTAGATGTTTCTTTTTAATAACATAGCAAAATGAGTTGAGCAAAATGCCTCCTTGTCAAAACTAGTTTCCCTTCCAGTACATGTGCTCAGGCCATTGCATAAGCCTGAGGGGAGGTACTTTGATCTTCTTTATCAAAAAAAGTATTACATTTGGTTGAGGCATGTTTCATAAAGCCAGAGCAATTAAACAATTTGTTCATTTGCTAGACAGAAGACTTTTTTTTTACTCTTTTTAATAATTCCAAACTTTTTTCCAGGGGTTATTATAAGCTGATATGTTGTTGTAACCAGGAATGGAAGTAGTCAAGTTGAGTGGCCACAGGTCACTAAAGTACAAACAATGCCTTAAAATGGGTGTTAGTTACATTATGCTAGGATGTCCAGTACACAATTCCCTTTTTGTTTTGTGTTTTTGCCTCATTAAATGTACCACATAACATGGTGCCTCAGTAGAACTTATTCTATATTTTACTAAAAGTTTTACACAAATCATACAAAATGTGCTATATGAAGTTCTGGTGCTTAGCTCACTATTACGGACCTAATAAAAGAATTACACAAACGATTAATGGGAAAATAAAACATGTAACATTAAAAACTCTTATCCAATTATTATTATTATTATTATTATTATTATTGAACATACATTAAGAAGATTTGTGTTTTCTCTTAAAGTCATATCCAACACATGCAGGTTATGCACAATGATTAAATTCTACTGTCTTAAAGTACCAAGTTTGTCTATTTTTGTGCTTTACTTTTGTGCTTGATGCCATTACTTGAGTATATATGTATATTACATAAGCTTTTTTTTTTTTTTTTTTTTTAAATTGTTGCTTAAGTTTAACTATGTCTAAAATAACTCAGTACTTTTACTGAGATTGAATTTTAGGTCTTATTTTTCTCGAATAGCCAAATAAATTAATAATTATAAAACTTTCCATCCCTGGTTATAATGTTAATACAACGGTTCTTCTTAAAACAGAATTATTTAATCACGACAGAAGTAACTCATTATAATGAGAAGTTTTGAGACTTGAGCACTGAGTAAATTCATTTTGCAAACGTGGCAGCAACACACTGCTGTGTTCACTGAGGCGATGTGATATCTTGGGACATCGAAGGCAACTGGAAGGAAATGTGAGTCTCCCATGAAGTCCACCTTTCATATCTCACTTTAGAGCTTTGGTCCTTGGCATCTCAGAGTGTTTTGTGCTATCTGGGTAAGCAGCTGTAACCAACAGATCTGATCAATAATATGGCCTGAGTCCGGGTCTATCGAAACCTAAAATGTGGCAGCAGTAGCTTGTGTGTTTTGGCTAGCCACAAATTCAGAAAACATAAATAAATTATAATAAAATCAAAAGAAAATGAGGCCCAGATTACCTTCAGAATAAAAATCCAGGGGATTGCTGTTTCTTGTGATTTGCCCTTTGTGCTTAAATATTTTTTTGCTTTTTGAGTAAATAAATAAAGTCCGGGCTACAGCAGCCTCGAGTGCTGGCTGTTTGGTCTGTCCGAGGCTGTCTCATTGTTTTTTTTCCTGACCTAACTGGAGCCACATAAAAATAATGTGTTGTCTTTACTGAAGGTCATCCATAATGTTTCCATGGTAACTGAAGGCATGAGGAACACCGGTTGCTGTGACAACCGTGTCAGGACCATGAACATTTGAAGCCTCTGAACATCTGACCTGGTCCATCTGCAGATCAGGTGTTCTGATGTGGTTTAGTTCTCCAGAGCTCTGCGGTGATATGGATTTGTGCTGGTCTGAGGTCAGCCCAGTTCTGGTTTCACATCAGTCAGACAGCGGCTGGACGAATGAGGACGGAAACAACCCTCTCTGGTCTGGTTCTTCCTCTATGTAACCATGCTACACAGAGAGAGAGAGATATGTTTACCTTAATGTTCACTGGACATGTAGTCAAACAGAGGTTTGAAGAGTGAGAGCCACTTGAGTGGATCACTGCAAAGTTTTACCTTCATATTATGTACTTTCTTTTTTTTAATTCTAAAGGAGGGGTAAAGATTAGATTTTGAGCCCTGGTAACTTTTTAAGCAAAGGTAATATCAACAGTAAAACGTATACTTTAAAAAAATCTATATTTCTTTTTAATGCTCATCATAGAAAGATGATCTATAAAAGCTACTGAGGTTCAAGAGCACTTTCACAAATGGTGATGCCATTTTTTCCAGAGAATTAGTTAATAGCAGTTTGATTTCATACATGCTGATGACTAATATAAGCTGCTCTGGCACAGGTTAGAGTATCCTAGCAAGAACTGAACCACCTTTGTTAGCAGTGAAAATCCAGCTAAACCCAAAGTTTATCCTATAAGCTTTAAATTCTTACCAGAACAGGCCTCTGGGTATATGTTTCAGCTGAAGTACAGACTTAAGTTCAGAGGACAGATGAGGTCACACTGTGAGACTTTCTCCAACCCGCCGGCCGAGGCTCTAATGAGAGGTCGGGTTGGTGATACTGATACCTACCCACCAATCATTGTCCTCCTGTCCCAGGACCACCAGCACCTGGCCCTCAGAAAAGCTCAGCTCGTCATGGTGGTCGGCCTGGCAGTCATACAGCGCCTGAACCCGACGACTGGATGCTCCTCGAGGCTAATTGATACATACCAAATCAGGTGTAACATTATTGCTCATGTATCACAGTGTAGCAATTATAATTTCATTGTACTGTCAATTGGAATTTGTTCCTCTATTGTCCAAATATGATATCGATTCACTTCTTTCATTTCAATTTATGCTCATTCTTTGTACCTTTTGCTTGCATAACTACTGTACCTGCACACAAATTATTTGAATTATACCCCTTTTACTATTAAGGATTTCTTGATCATTACTATGCAAATTGTCATGACCACTGATCAAAGACCATGAGTACTATTCACAGAGAGTTGGGCAATGGCTGTAATCACAGCATTGAAAGATGATGGCAAACGTGTTGCAGAAGCAACTGGATTGTGATTTTTTTTTTCTTCCTAACATTAAAACACTGCAAGGTTGATGGGGCGTTAAATATTTTCAAAAATCTCACCAGTGATCTACGAGGAAGTGGTTGAGGGGCGGAGCCTCTGCTTTCACTTTCAAAGCTCTGAGAGCGCTGATTGGATGGAGAGCCATTTATTGGTGCCTTACTGTTGAGGATCTGGAAATGGGAGGAGCCACTTTCACTGTCCGCCCTCCGAAAACCTCAGACAGAAAGACTCAGGTTTTAAGTACATTCTCATTCATACAGGGACAATAATTACATTAAATATAAGCAAAAATATATATATTTTACAATTTCATAATAGAGAAAAAAATAATCATTAAAATGCATTATTAATAAGTCATAATTAAGTTTTAAATGACCTGAAATGACTAAATTAAATGATTTTTTTTTTTAAATAATGCGTTTTTGTGCATGTAAAGTAATACATGTTTGCATATATTAAATAATGTGAATATTAATCTCTAAATTCAATTCACTTCTTTGTCAGATAAAACAACCTTTTTTTTTGGAACAGTCAAAAGCAACACACGTGCTGTAAATAAGAAAAAGCAGCAAATCCTCAGATAAGATTTTGGAATTTTCACTAAAACTGCAGATAAATTTTGTTTTAATAAAAAAATAAATAAAAAAAAAAATAAAAAAAAAACATCATAGAAGTCAGTGTAAACTCATAGAAGCCAAAATGTATCCTCAGATTTTGTCTGCTCTTCTGCTCTCTGGTTAAAGACTGTAGGTGCACGCTGTCTGTAAACATTTATCACAGGTAGGCATAATGGATTTAACAGACTCTTGATACGTAAAACAGACTCAGGTCTCAGAAGACGTTTTGGGACAGGAAGTACCTCTGTCAGATCGTTCAGTCAGTGAGCTGAGAGGAGAAGCTGGACTGGAAAAACAGAGACAGACAGGGAAGAGAAGGAGTCCGTGTTATTGTCTGTGGTGTTTTGAAGCTCATCACACTGACCTGTATTTCACCTCCTATCCACCAGAGGTCAGTACAACCTCAATTTATCTAGGTAGAAACTGCTTCACTTTGTTTAAGAATAAAGTTCCAGCTTTAACCTTTTATGTCCTCTTTAATTCTTTTACAATCATGTATGAAATAATAAACCAACAATATTCATATCTGCTGTCTGACCCAATAAATTTACAAATTCAAATTTTAGGATCTCTCCTAAAATTAATTTGTTTCTATTTTGCTTAAAACTTTGTTCTACGGGTTTGAATTCTGAACAACAACATGAGCAGAATAGCACCTCGGTCTGTGAGACATCCCTTCATCGCACATCCAATTATAAGCTTCATCAGCAAAGGTTAAATTTTAGCTTTTTTTTTTTTAAAGCTAGGATACAAAAACACAAAATTCAGTGGACCATTTTAGAACACTGGACTGTACATACAAACTCCTGTAGTGCTCCTGGAGTTTGTATTCATACAAAAAACAAAAAAAAACAACAACACACTTTTACAAAATAATAAAGAGACACAACCGGTGTTGTGATCATCAATGCAGCAGCTATTGCACCAATGATGATCACAACACTGGTTATGAGCCAGATTCTTCCTGGATGTGCTCGATGCAGTGCTGTGGATACTCACACACACTTCCTGAAGGAGGAGTCTGGACCACTGTATATCCTGGGACTGGCTGGCAACCCATAATCTACACACACACACACACACACACACACACACACACTTAATAACACAGTATCCTTCTGACTGACTAATTACAGTGTGTTTCTCAGATATTACCGTGCTTACTGGACTCAGAGCAGCTCCGCTTGTGTCGGACGGCGATGGGAGAGGGAGGGGTAATCCTTCTATTTCCTGTCAGGGGAAAGAATACCTCACCCTCTCCCTCTTCTTCCTCCCCCATACCATCTCCTCCAGACGGAGGTGGAGGAGGAGGAACATTGGGAGCTGAAAGCCAAAAGAGAGCATTGAGGTTTTTCATTCAGGCAGCAGGTAAAGCCAGAGAAAGACGTTGAACCAGATAAAACATTTTAAAAATGTTTATATAAGCTGACCTTTGACCCTGGGAGGCAGCGGGGGCGCAGGAGAGGATGGAGGAGGAGGTGGTGGGCTGGGGACGGAGCCAGCGGGATGGCTGTGAAGCTCCATAGCCATGGCGAGTCTCCTCCCCACACTGAGAAGGCCTCCAGCTGGTCCTCCGGGTGTTCCAGAGGAGGACAACATGACACAGGAGGAGTTGGACTGACTGAAGCTGAAGGGACGGGAGGAGAAGGAGAAGGAGGGGGTGAAAGAAGAGGATGAGGAGGAAGTGGAGCGCTCCTTTTTAAACGGACCATTCTGAAACAGAGGGTGAAGCACATGAAGACGTTAGCAGAGAGAAAGCGGTGAACAATTTATAAAGATCGATAGCTTAAAACTCATTATGAGCATCATGACTAAACTGCAGATTTTATGCACAAAGACTTTTACTCTAACAAATTGTGAACTGTGCAAAACTCAGATAGCAGAGTAGAGTAAATCATAAATACAAGTAACAGATCCCCCTTATACTTGTATATGAAAGCAGAACATGAAGAAAAGGCAGTGACATCATTTAAATTACTCTGAGGACATTTTTTTGTAAAAATCTCAACTCAGCAGCCTGTCAGTTGCCATGGTTACCTTGTCATCAAAGTCATCATCACTGTCGTACAGGTCGTCATGACGAATCCTCCACTCGTACTCCACATGGACGTGATGGTCAAACTGGTTGGACTGGGCTTTCTGCAACTGCACACACACAGTAAAATATTTGTAAATGAGGATCACCTTCAAAGACAAGGGACAAGGCTTTAGGAGCTACTGACCTATCAGGTTTGAGCAGTATTTGACTGCATGCTGCTTAACAATCTATGCTGAGAGTAAAAGACGGTCAGTTGAGGATAGCTCCAAAAACTAGGTGCCTCTCTATAGACAAATGCCAGATTTTACAACAGAAATTCACTTGTTTACAACCTGCTAAAATATTTAGTTTCAGCTCTGTATCTGTTTTGCTCTTTTATAAAAACTACACAGGTGTTCAATGTGAAACTTTATCAACGCCTTTTGGTTAACAGGTAAGCAAGTAAGTACCGTTTCACAGGCAAACAGTCACAAACCACTGCAACAGAGTAAAAATATTAAGTGCTACAACAGCAATACAAAATCAAGTTAAAACACCGACTAAAATTAACAGGTAGGTGACTTAAGCTCACTATAGACAAGATAGTCTGCTAGCTTTGACCTCCACTTATATGACTCATTAAACTGGGGCTTTCACCATGTTTGACGCCTTTTTAAAGATATAAGATGCATTGCTGTGCAGTTAATTATAGTAACAGACCATCATTTATCTTGCTAAATACATTTTTTAAAAATTAAAAAACTAGTAATTTAGTCCTCTGGCATCTTGGTCAAATATGGTGATAACACAGTATAACAGGTGGTTACTGATTTATCAGACAGTCTGATGTGAATCTGTAATCAGAGCGATGACCTCACCAGTGCCTCACAATGGGTGTGCTTCAACCTGCGGCTCACATCCAGAGCGGTTTCTCCTAACTCGTTCTCTGAAATAAACGGTTAAGATATTAATTAATAATGAAATAATTACCAAATATCATCATCAGTTTATCCAAGTCACCAAAAATATTCTACATGTAAAAACTGTGCGTTTTACTTATTGTCTGACAGTCCTCCTGTGTTGTTGTTTTTTTATTGGGCCTCATCTATTGGCTGGAGTCGATGGGCATGGGCGCAGAAGGCAGGTGACTCTACATGGAGAGTGAGGCTGAAGACCTACAACTCTACAGACACTGATCTTCTGTTTCAGGTTATCTTTAGTTTGTCTTTGCGATCCTTACTGTGAACCTCTGGATGATGTGGTTGTTTGAAATAAAGAGTGTTTTATCTTTGGGACAGTAATCCTGGTGAACTCGGATTATTTTGGATGTGAAGAGTCTGACATTTTTCTCATATGCTTTATCAGAATGACATTAAATAACCTCTACACACAGTTGATGCTCAACTGATAAATGAGAGCTCTGACAGATACATTATACAAGTGTGTGTGTGTGTATTACTGATGTGTGTGTTGGCTCTGGCTCTCAGCAACAGCTTCACACAGTCGGTCTTGTTGTGTAGACAGCTGTAGTGCAACGCCGTGTTTCCCGCTGATGTCTGTGTATCAACATTAGAGCTGACAAAAAAGAAAAAGAAAAACATGCAGGTAAACACAAAGGTACACACACACACACACACACACACTGAGGTGTAACAAAGGTTTCCATAGCAGACTGACCAGTTCTGAGCCAGGAAGTCCAGGATGTGCAGTGATGTCCTGTCAGCCAGTAGGACAGCTAAATGGAGCGCTGTCTCCCCTTTCTCCTGATGGCAAGAAAACAATCTCTTGAGATTATGTTGTTCCCAGATTATTAATACCTTGCATCTTAATGTAGCTGTGCGCGTGTAGCTGATTATACCTGGGTTTTTTTATATCTGTATGTGTGTGCGTGCAATCCAACATGCACATCAGTGTGCCTGTATCAAGTGTGTTTAGCTACCTGTATGTGTGCGTGCAGTGGCTGGCTCAGCTCTGCCCTCTGAGCGTACAGCTGGATCAGAGTGTAGATATCGCAGCTCTTGGTCGCCTCCTGCAGACGAAGTCGCAGCGCCGAAGTAGAGCTATGACTCCGCCTCACAAAGTTAACATCTTGATACTTTGACAGGATGAAGTCTTTACGCTCCGGCCTGCACGTCAAAAATATACAACATCAGATTTGTTAGAGTGTGAAATATTTCCTTTGAGTGTGCACCTGTGTTCGTCTCTTACATGTGGCTGTGTTGAGAGGGCTTCAGTGACGGACTCAGCAGGTTGGCTTCCAGTATTTCGTTAAAACCAGAATTACCGACATTCCTGGCCAACTGGGAGATACAGAGAGAGAGAGCGCTCACAGTCAAGGGCAAACAACAGGGCCATGTAATACCCATTCAGTGGGTATTGTATCAAGAATAAGAATCATCATGATTTTTAACCTCAGAATAAGATAGATTGGATTAGTTGGGGGACTCTCTCCCAACTCTCTGTGAACGGTACTCATGGCTAGTTTCAGTCATGACTGAAGAAGTAATTTGGATGAGTGACGAAACGTTTCTCCCCCTGAAAACGCTACGCCCAGATGAACAGAATCAACTTTTGGGGATTTACTTACCTGGATGATTGAGAATGCATCGAGATGTAACGTTACAATCTTTTTCAGTTTGTCAGAGGTCACTGCTGACTGAGAATTGGAGCTTATTATGTCTTGCATGGATATAAATCTCTTCTCTGACTTAACATTAAATAACCAAGTTTGACATTTAGTTAAATATTTTCTAACATTACATATGTCAGAATAAACCACACTGCACTGAAATAGTAAAGATCCAGCTGCAAAGCAATGGAAATGCACAGCAGGAAAAAAAAGACTCTAAACGTTGAAACTACCTGAGAGTTTATCTCTAGAAATGTCTTTGATAACTGTTCACAAAGCTAACTGAAACTATGACACATGCTAATGACAGCTCTCAGCTGAGCACATGTAAATGCCCTGCACAGTACCATTTCAGAAGTGAACCCAGTTACACCTGGAAAGCATGACTGATAAGCTCATTAGCTAACAGGTCTGACCTACCAGCAGGTCTGAGGTTCCCAGACTGTCCAGGCTCAGAGACTGGATCCTGGAGACGTGGACCCCCATTTCCCTGTGGATGCCTGAACACTCAATACAGGTCAGGATACCCAGGTTTGTAGACAGCCACCCAGGATCTACAGTAAGAGAGGTCAAGGTCAAAGGTCAAGGTCAAATGTATTTATATAGCACATTTCCAGATAGAAGATGCTGCACAAAGTGCTTAACAATATAAAAATGGCATTAAAAAGCAACAATGTAATACAATAATAGGACAATAAAATAATTAAAACAATAACTAAAACTATTAAAATAAGACCAAAATGCTTGGGCCATAGTGTGTTAAAAGCCAGGGCATAGAAATGTGTCTTTAGTAGTGATTTAAATTGCTCAAGTGTTTGTGCAGATCTAATATTTAGGGGGAGACTATTCCAGAGTCTGGGACCTGCCACAGAGAAGGCTCTATCGCCATGAGATTTGAGATAAGTCCGTGGGATGGACAGCATTAATTTTGAGCTTGACCTCATGGTTTTTCATGGAGCATAAACAGACAGGAGCTCAGACAGGTAAGAAGGCGCTCGGGCATTAGGTGACTTAAAAACAAAAAGTAAAAGTTTCAATTGGATCCTGTAGGAGACAGGAAGCCAGTGTAGAGAAGCTAAAACTGGGGTTATATGTTCTCTCCGGTTGGTACCAGTTAGCAGGCGAGCAGCTGCATTTTTCACCATCTGAAGACAATGAATGGAGGCCTGGTCGAGGCCAAAATACTATGAATTGCAGTAGTCCAATCTGCAAGCAAGGAAACGGTGAATGGCACGTTCAAAGACCTTAGCCGGGAGGTATGGTGTTACCTTGGCTAGCTGTCTAAACTGAAAGAAGCAGGACTGGACTACTGCACTCACCTGCTTATTCAATTTAAAAGAACCATCAATGTAGACACCGAGGTTTTCTACATGTGTTTTACAGGAGGAGGAAAGGGGGCCCAGAGTGCCATCGATGTGATTATTGACAAAGCTGCCAAAAATGACAACTTCAGTTTTATTTTCATTTAGCGAGAGAGCTCACCCGAATACTTCCTGCAGATTTTTTCACATTAAAAGCCTACCTTGGCACAAACCACCTGATTGTAGAAATACAGACTGCTAATAAGAAATTATATAACATTTAGCAGATAAATATTAAATACACGCTTGGAATTAAACTAAGCTGTTCATTCAACTGTCTTATTTGCCACAAAATAATCTTTCAATTATTTGCTTGATTAAATATGACACAATTAAATCAGTAATCTCTTCGGCATAACATCTAGTGTACTTTATTGGTTTGATTACCTGGTGCGCCACAGTCACAGCAGCTGTTGTTTCCCGGCATCCGTTTGATGTCATCGGTGATGGCTCGGGTCAGATCCTCCACGCTGCTCTCACTCCCTCCTCCTCCTTTTCTCCCCCCGTCCAGAGCCATACTCAGAGCCTCCTGCTTGCTGTTAGTGAGCACTGACATCCAGCTGAAAACAAACAACACTTCTTAATAATGTGTTCTCATTTTTAGACCCAAGATGATGTGAGCACCACAAGAAAAGAGTAGTCCGACAATTTACCACCATTACTATATTAAAAACACACACACGGCCGCTGACATCTCAGTCCAACCTCTCTATGACAGCGTTTCAACAGACATGCATCTCACTTCTTTAGGTGCAAAGTTTGTGGAGCAGCAAAGGAAACTCCCCTTCTGTCTAACTAAACAGTTTCAGACTTGTAATGTTTAGTGTCTAGTGTCACATGTGCAATCATACTGCCCAAGACCTGCAGAAACATAACTCATACTGTACGTGTAAACTTAGCAGAGTGGCCCGTTAACAACCTGCCCGAAGAAAGTTTTACTCACGCCACACACTCAGCTTCATCTTCAGCCAGGAAGTGGTAGGTCCGATTATCTGCAGGAAAAGGTGTATCTTATGCTTACAGAGACGTATTTATACAGTACATAATACTGATTACATGCATTTAAATTTATATTTGGATGCATGCAGTTTTTATCTTGTGTTAAATTATGTACGACTTCAGTGTACATGTAGAATAGCATTTAGTGACACTTACGAGAGATAAGGTCAAAGCATTTCTTATCCTCCACGCTGGGTTTAACCTGACAGGTGAGCAGGTTGAGTCTGGTGGGAGGTTTGTTCGGCTGAAAAGCAGAAAGAACGCTGCTGATAAGATTCAGTTAAAACATAGACAGCAAAGAGAACTAAGCCAAACAGATTTTTCCTGCTGTTTTTATCTCTTTATACATTTATACACACGCACTCACAGTAGCATGCGCGATGGTCAGGTAACAGTTGTGAACTGAACATTTCCTCTTCTGCCACATTTTCCTCAACCTGGAACACAAACACAGTTTTAGTCCTTTTAGTGATCCTAATAGCTCTGACTATCACCGAGTGTCTTAGTGCCCTCGCTCTGTAGCAACTTATCAATAAGGAAGACCACCCTATAGTTTTGGTGATTAGCAGACTGCCAGAGTAGCCCTTCATTTGCTTGAAACACATACTTGTCTACAGCAAATTAGTTACTCAGGGAATACACATTTTCCCTAGCATACTTTGGTCTCCAGTGGGTCGCCAACCAGTCGCATGTGTAACTGAGGCCTTAGAAAAGCATAAGTTTCAGGTACTCTCCTTTTAAACCTCCTTTCAAACCCGAAATCTACAGCCATGTTTTATATACAGTCTGTAGGTGCACACAGAGAGATCTGTTCCCTGATTTTCACAATAAATGCAGCATCTTCCCCCATCCAACATAAATATTTTGGGAAACGTCGACCAGTCTGGAGGGAACAAATTACAAAGGAGACAATTCCTTGCCATTCCATAATCCACACACACAAATATAAGTACGAATCCAGCACATGTGCAATGTCGCTCCTTGTCAGTTCAATATCTATATCGCCAGTTCACAACAGCTGCCTCAAGGCACTTCATTTTGTAGGTTAAAGACGCCACAATATTAGAAAGAAAAGTGAGAATAAAAGAGTGCCTTAAGCTATGAGACACAAGCCTTTAAAAGGAGATGATGCAATGACCATGATTATATAACAACATTAAACCAACGGCTGCAGGCTGATGTTGGTTAAGTGGTCCAAGAACTATTCAAATTCAAACAGTCAGTAGCACCAAAAAGCTTAAGGACACTCCATTAAGAGCACAAGTCAGATACATTTTTCTAAATGCGTTATTAATGTCGAGGAACAAATGTCGGTCAAGGTGAAGATACTTTTAACTATTTAACATTGTTTATATGAGTTGCCCTATTTTATCAACGCTTTGGTACCGTTTGTTTTTAAAATTTAAATCATTTTTTTTTTTAAAACTGCAATTGAAAAAAAATCAGTACTACCAATGCAGTTTGCACATTAAGAGTAACTGAGGCATTTAACTTAATTGCACTGCTTTGTAAATGTTTAAAAAGGCGTGCAGGTTATTTTATGTTGTGTGTTTACCCGTCACTCTTCTTGTAGAGGAATCCTGTTCTCTCCGTCCCGTACTGTTTGTCTCCCAGCAGCTGATGCATATTGTACACCTGCTTAGGCAAAGAGTCCTACACGCGCACACACACACACACGTGCAGACACACATTCATTATTTTGCATGTCCAAACAGCAAAATAGCGCACATATGTGTCCGTGTCTCTGACCTGCTCCGTGTGGACGACCGGCCTCAGCTGATCTCTGAGTGTGCACAGCTGTCTCTTCTCCTCATCCTGACGTTGCTTCACCTGCACACACAAACAGCTCACCTGCAGAGCTCAGCTAATCCAGGATCACATGCTGCTGCCGCGCTTACACCGTCCAAATCTCACTCAGCAAATTTCCATTTTTAATTTTGGAGTAAATCATCACGAGTTTACTTCTCATGGTATATTACATATGTAGAGAGCTGGAGCTGATCAGTTACTGTATGAATGGATGAGTTTTGATCATGTGACTGCAGAGACAGGGCACAACCAAGCAGCAAAGTATAGTTCCTCAAGGCTGGCTCCAAAAGGAAAGTCAAAAAGAGAGTAAATCACTTAATTTCTTACTTCATGTAATGTCTCTATTCTGTATGTTGTATTCTTCATAATAATAATTTTTTAAAAGTAAATGACTTGATTTTAATCTCTGTGCAAATCATTAACAATCTGCCAGCCGCACTTAAAGGCTGCTGCTAGTGTTGCTGCTGTTAGCACTTCCTGTACCGTGGTCAGGACTCCGTTGAGCTCATCCATGTACTGCTTCAGCCTCTGAGTGGTGGAAACACACTCCTGCAGGAAACTGAACACAAACATAAAGATGTAGTAAATCGAACCATTCCAGTTTACTGTATGTAGCTTTGCCAAAGCTGTGTTTGTGTGAGCTCCTACTTGTTGTGGCTGTGGTAGTGTTTGATGAGGTTCTGCAGAAGGTCGACTCCTCGCTTCGTCTTTATCTCATTGACCCTAATTAGATACTGAGGGAAAAAGACAAGAAGCGATTGAAGGAAAGCTGCACATTTAAAAAATAAAATAAATAAGAATGGAAATGAAGGGGAAGAGTCACTGACCTCACACATGCTCAGTTGGAAGGAGCGTCTCTCCTTCTCCAGCTCCTCCGCGATCTCTCCTCCGCTCACCTCACTCCTCACCATCCCATACTGCCGAGCTAACTCCCTCTTCTCCTTCTCCACCTGTTTACTGCACACACAGTTTCAAGACTTTAATTTAAAAATCTTCCTGCCCCTAATACAAACGTATTAAAGTTTCCAGTCTTAGATACTAGCAAATAAACACAAGTTAATTCAGTGTCACTCACAATCTGCTCTCATAATCCCTCCACGCTCTTTCAAAAGGCTTTTTCAGATCCTAGGAGACACAGAAGGAAAATGGAATTAGAATTATTAACCATACTGAACACAAGCAGCAGCATCCTGAGGCTAAACAGTAAAAAAGACTACAAAGATTCATTTTTTTTGACTGAACTCTGGTGAAATGTTGACAGAAACACTGGCCAGAGGCTCGTGACTGTTATAGTTCATACGAGTTATTTAGGTGGTATGAATGCACTAAGCAAAGATGAATGTCCTCACCCCCTTCACCTCCCTCAGGTCTCCTTTAACCAGAGAGTCCAAGAAGAAGTTGATGTTGTGGAGCATGCTCTTTAGCTGAACACAGAGAAACATAAATTATCTAAAGGGAAAACACATACTGCTCAAAGCCATCATGGGTAACACTATGAACTGCTTAACATGAAAAACATTAAGACAGTTTAGGTGATTATGACTTTGACAGAGAGCACAAAACCATATGACACAAGGATTGTGTCACGAGCTCACTACGGTCTACTGCCGTCCAGATGTATAGTAATTAGACCTACAGTTTGGTCTTAAGTTAGGTCCTTAATCGGACAGTGACGGTAATGTTGCTTCTGTACACCAACACAGTGGATTTAAATAAAGCAATCAAAATATGAGTACCTCATTTTCAAACCCCAGAATAACTGGACAATAAATGATAATAAAATGCACTCGCCATAACATAGAACCAAAAAGTCTGTATTTAATCATGTAGCTGATGCTGGTCAGTCAGTCATTTTGCAAATGAACTCATTATGCGCTCCTCAACATGGGGCTTTCTGTAAAGGAAGGAGGCAGATATTTTCAAACTAGAGCAAAGACTCATTTTAAGGGTTTTTTCAAACTGAAGTTACAGATTTTTAAGTAGAAACTCATCAGCTGGAGGTGTTTTGTTGCTATCACTCACCAGGTTTTTCATGGGAGAGAGGAGCTCTTTGGAAAAGTCCGCCAGGCGGCAGAAGGCGGAGCCAACCTCCGTCTCTCCGTTTGAGTGACAGTTGACCGACAGCTTCTCCATCGCGTTAATGTACTGCTCCAAATGAGACACGTGTTCTGACACAGAAATGCTGTTAGTAAAGGGAACAATACGGGGATGTGCATGTGTGCGTGTATATTTTGGGGTGTGTACCTTGACCTGATGTGTATTTGGCTTTTGCAGCTTTCTTCATCTTCTGTAGCACCAACCTGTCGCTGTCCAGAACCTGAAAAAAAACAAAAAAACCATACACACATTAATAAAGAGTGTGTGGACCTGCAGTGTGTGCATGTGTGTGTACATGTGCATGAAGGGGAGGTGGTAGTAATTCACCTGCTGACTCAACATACACACAGAGGACAAACTTGATGACATCGCTTGATGGCAGCAACGTTCCTGTGTGAGAACCATCGTCTGATCACTAAAAATCTCCACATGAAACTCCACAGTGAAGCTCTTCTCCCCATTCTGAGAAGATGTTAATTTTTTACCTTCAGCAGCTATTAACAGGTTAATAGTTTGTATAACGATTTCTACATGATTATTTCTGAATGTGTCAGACCACATATCTAATGGAGGCTGCCAGTTTTCATGCGCTGCTGCTTCTTATTGATTATTAAGTACTTTTTTTTTTTGACACTACAACTTGAGTGTGGAAATGATGATTGATGGTTGTTATTATTGCAGTTGGAAATGTTAGGGTTGAAAATACTGTGTTACGTCAATAAACCACCACAAATTTCAAATTTTATCATTTAATTACATTTAAACAGCTTCAGGGTTTGCTGTTGCTTATTATTCGTGGCTTTAAAACTTTGCACACATGAAATAAATGTCATTATAAACAGGTGGTATGCCACCATATGGGTGTTTATTCTAAAAAAATTTTTTTTATAAATAATTAGAAATTATAAAATTAAATCTGTAATTTACAGTTTTTCAGCCTCCTTTGAATGCAGTACCAGTGTGCAAGCTAGAACATCCTTTACGTAATTATCCCTCTGGCCCCTTCTCTTATCATCAAATAACCATAGCTGTGAATGATTAATCTGTTGCCATGGTAACATATGCCAACACTGTTGGGGGTACATGTTTGGGGCAGAAGGGCAGTGTTTTTGAGGCCAGGCTTGGGGTCAGTAGCTCCACTATTGAGAGAATTGCGCTGCCTGCTGGCTTGAGGGGCATCCCCATTCAAGCTCTCAGACCTCACACAGTAGCAGAGCAAATTTACAAACTGTTTAAGACCTTTAGTAGATTATAAAATGTTCTAACTTTAGACCTAATCACTTTAACATTAAGAAATTACTTCTGTATATGTAAATATTTAAAGGGCTTCAGTCCATTGAGTCTACGGATGAAGGGTCCAAAATGTTTGCAAATTTGCATGCAAAGGGAGGTTTAGACAAAACTCGGATGTAAACATTTCATGATTCTGTTCCACGTTTCCTTCTGAAATCCTGCAAGCACACTGCAAACTATAAGGGTGATATGAAAGTCGTGGCAGACAAATGGAAAAGAAACTGCTGTTACTGCAGAATGGTATTTTAGTCAAACTTCGTAGTGAGATACAGTCTGCTTTTTGTTTTAATTCAAGAATGTTCTGAAAGGCTGTAAACAACATGTCTGCAAATATAAGATGAGTAGTAGTTAAGGAACAGCTTTGTGCTAATTAGCCATGCTACCAATCTGCTGAGAACCATTTGCACCCCTTGTGTTTTGACAAATTTTGCATAGCATGATTCTGTGTCTTCCTCCAAAAACTCAAAGTGACAGCAACACTTTGATTGTGAATGAAGTACAAAAGCTGGACTTCAGTGACTGAAGCATTTGTCTAACAGAAATGATCACATTTCTTCACCAATAAGCATGATAGCTCGAAGGGCGATTGACAGTAAATAAGAAGATTCATGTTTTTGATTAATAAGTAAAACATGGAAGATGTAGCTCTAGTATAGTCATTAGAAACAATGCACGAATTTAGCAAACAGTTGAGTGGATTGCTTTTTGATAAGGAATCTGATACTTTCCTCAAAGTACAGTAATACACGAATGCATTACTTTTTCTGTACGCAGTAACTAAGAATATATCTGAACTAGTAAAAATGATTGTCACCTGTCAAAACGCTGCCCAGTTTACACAGCTTTTGTCTACAGCGGCTTTGATCTCGATATAATGGCGACAAGCTCAAACACTGCTGTTAAAATAAAACAGCTGAAGGGGTTTGGGCAATTTGACCAGGATGCCTTCCTGGAGATTTGTGCATCTCATTTGGCTTGGGAATGCTTCAGTGTGATCCTTGAAAACAGCTGGAGGCAGTGGTGGTGGTGAAGGAGGTGTGGGCATACAAACTGTATGAGGCCTGCCTTGTACTCCTATAGAACCAAGTGTTGAGCTGGTGGTCAATGTCATGAAACCCAGTCATGACAGTCAAAAGCTTCTTGCAATAGCATTAAATAGAGGTAACATTTTCTGCAACTTCTTTCATAAATGGCTCTGAAATTTAGTGAAAATAATGAAACATCCGCACAGCAGCGAGAGTTCTGGAGCCGCTCAATGGATAATATTTATAAACCATAATGTCGTCAGACCTGTGACTAAACGAATGTTAAAAGACATATCGAGGTAAAACAGTCCAACCATCAGAACTGTGTGTTATAATGTGGATTAGTCTGTTTAACAAGAGTGTGGTGAGTCTATGTTTGTGTCAAAAGGTTGGGATAAGTAGCACAGACATTTAAATGAAATTGTGAATAGCAAGCTGAAAAAGCCAACAACGCTAAGCACCAGGGGTCATCGTTAGTTAATGGAAACCGTCAATGGCAATAAATTCATAGTGCATAACCTCATGAATCACAAAGAAATTGACCTGCACACTCCTGGTCGCACACTCTGTGTCGTAGTTCTTTGACCCAACTCTCTTCACAGCGATGATCGTCGATATAAAGGCTGTTACACTTTGACACACAAGTTGATACTTGCTCTCTTTGCAAGTTTGAGGTTTTAAAATGCATTAGTCAAAGCAGGACTAAAAGGGAACCATCTAAACACAGCAGAAAGGCTGCGCTGTGCTTCACAAGGAGACAAATTTAAATCGGTTACATTTTGTTTGTACCAAGAAGAATTTTAAAAGGAATAAACTGTTTCATGCTTGCAGGCATTTATCATCTACAGTAAGTATGTATAAACAATTAATGTGCAAAGGCCTTTGCGATTTGTTAATCACATGCAAATAATATAAAAATGTTGTCATTTGTAGGAGACAGGGTTAAAAGGAAAAACTGTACATTTCACACAAAGAGGGGTTGGTATGAAGGATTGATTGGGGGCCACAGCTGCTCATTTTCCCCGGGGACCCTGAGCACTTAGGTCCGGCCATGAATGTAGGCTAGAAGCCAAATAATCAATTTACCGTGTACGGATAATCTCATTCATCAGGTAGCCTACACCCGTCCTGTTGAATCTGCACGATAAGCATCTTCAGACTGCTACCACTACCTGCTACCCCTCCTCTGTCAGTACTGACCTCCTCCAGCAGGTAGACTGTGTTCCTGCAGCTGATCATCTTGGAGGTGAAAGAGGAGGTAGTGGGAGAGTTCCAGTCCTCCTGAACCTCCTGGACGAACTCTGATACCGACACACACTCCGGCATTGTGCTCCTGAGGCCGGTAAGGACCGGGAGAGAACCAGGACAGTCCGGAACTGAAAGACCAGTTCCACACAAAAGACCGAGGACACCAAGCGCAACGTAGAGTCACCAACAACACACAAAAATTAAAAATACAGCTGAAACGAGCCCATCAGTGGTACGTCCAGACTCCCACAGTCCCGGTAAGAGAAACTAGCATCAACTGGCTGATTAAAAAAAAGAAATGGGTAATTAAAGACCTGCTGGGTGATTCCTCCTCCGTCAGTGTGAGTGAACCGCAGCATCAGCTTCTTTTCTCCAAACAAAGGTGGTTAAACCCAGCAGCAGATGAAAGCCCACCAGCCTCTCTGCACGAAACAACCAAAAGATTAAAACGCCGCCGGTTCACTGACGTCCTAAGATCGAGTCGGTCTCCGATAGAGCGTCTTCATTGAGAGAAAACCAGCAAACCCGCCCGTGTGTGGTCAGTGTGTGAACCCGCTGACAAAGAGCGGAGGAGAGGAGAGGAGAACCGGACCCGCCGGGCACCGGTTCCGGGCTCAGATGAGACAATAAAAGCGGCTTCTGCTGTCGGCTTCAGCCGCAGCTTCATGTCTTCTCGTCACAGATATTTCTTTTCCTGCTTTTGCTCCTTTATTTAAACCGCATGGAGAGGCGCGTTCACGGTGTACAGCGGCGGAGCCCTCTGTCGCGGCCGCGCGCACTGCTGACCGGGAGGAGTGTGAAACGCACGCTCCTCCAAATAAACCTCAGCTCGTTACACCTGCGTCCTCTCGTTGTTCGCTTAATTCACTCAACCGGAGTTACATTTCCACAAACGGCCATTTTAAAGTTAGTTTCAAAAGAAAAGGAACCATGAAAACAGGATTAGCTACTCAAAGACCCCACAATCTGAAAATCCCTGTTTGTGCTTTTTTCGACTCGTTTTCAGTAAAAAAACAAACAAATAAATCAAATTGGTTTCAGCCGGCAGGCTTAATTAGGAACAGCATGTAAGCGGCTAATACCTATCCAAAGACTTCATGCATATATATATAGATATATATAGATATATATATATATAGATATATTTCTTTAATTTTGGGTTGATAGTTTTATTTTTATTTTCTTCTTTAGCAAACCAACCCAAAAAGCTTTAAAAAAGAATTCGAAGAACTTCACGTTTTTTGAGCATTTAGCCAGTGAAAAACCGATGCGACACCACGGTTCAGTTGTTGTCTAATGACGTAAGTAAATGTCATCTTATTCGCTGATATAATGTTGTCAGACAGATGTTGGTATCTGCTGATATTGGATCTGTTGCACCGGTGGATCCATAGGGTATATACACGCATGTTAAAAGCTAAGGTCCATTGGACTCGCTCCAGTTCTGTGAAAAACTAAGTACGATTCATAATTTAGCAGCAATAACTTGAAGTTTTCTGTTTGACTTTATCGGTCTTTCTTGTTGTGCAGGAACTTTGGTCCACTCTTTACACGGTCGCCTCAGTTCACTGACGTGAACTAGCAATTAGTCGTCTTCTGGCATAATTTCCTTTGTAGTGTCTGAGGCAAAAAGCCAAAGTTTGTCTTGGCATCAACCATCATTATCATAGTTTTAGGGGAAACAATCAGACCAAACCGCTATAAACAAGCTACTTCCAACTTCCTGTTGTTCTGACAGAAGATAAGAATGAAGTCTGACAGCTGACTGCAGCGTATTACTTAAATACCTCTAACAAACAAGGAAACATCCGAAGTTCTTTGATGCCTGTTTTAGATATGGGATAATAAAATGTCCCACTGTTAAAGTTAGGTGTGATATTGAGCCTTTTTCCAAGAAAATATGATAGTCAAGCTAGAAAACAGTACATCTTTTTAAAGGAAGATGTAGCAAAGTTCTCCTACACCAGACTAAATCCGTCATTATGACAGAAATAATGTGTGCTCTATAACTTCAGTGCAAGAACTTCTACACAGAGGCAGCCTTATTTCTGTCCCTGCAGTTCAAATCCCAGCCAATTAATTTTGAATGAGTTAATCTAATTTCACAACTTATTTGCGAAGGGAAGAAACTGTGGTTTTAATTCTGCATAACCACAGTGAGTAGAGACGTGGCATCTCACTTCATAATTATGTTGTTTCTCACCTTTCTACAGAATTAAAAAAACTTGAATTTTCTGCTGTGATAGCTGTTAACAGGCACAATGACAGAACATAGAGAAATTACTTAAGCAGAGATCAGAAATCAGCACTGACAAATCCTTACCACGTTGTCTTAGCTGTCTATGGAGCCAAATATTTTGGAAAAATATCTGGAGAACCACGTATTAAATTCCTGAACTGCAGATTCAGCTTTTATGTTTGTTTGTTTTTTACCTTATTTGGGTGATCTGCCAGGAGCAAAAACAGGAAGTGGCAGATACACTTAAAAATTTATCAAAGTCAAAAGTTTACAGCGCAACCCAAATACACTAACATTCACGAAATTAACTTTCCTGTTGGTGATTTCCTTCAGCATTATTGCAGCTTTAAATCTCTTTCTTCTATTACGTTATGTAGAAGGCCTAATGTATGAGACCACTATTACATAGCTATTTACTATTACATGTATGTTCTGTGTATATAGGACTACATTGCATGTATTACTTGTATAGTAGATGCTGGATGCCGATGTAGCAGCAATTATACTCTGTGCCATTGTCTTTGACATAAACAGATTGCTTAATGCAGCACAGAAGTAGAACCATCCGTTATGTAAGGAATCTGTTGTAGCTGACATTCAATTCAGATTGTTTTGGTGCAAATTGCTTTGTCTTTCAGTTACTGAGAAATCGTATAGCTCTCAGTGCTGGTGTGATGCTGATCCCACTACAATTAGCACACCAAATTTGTGCATAAAAGAAGCCAGAAAAACTGCCAAATTGAATAGAATTAAAAGCAAATTAAAGTTAATCTCCTTCACTGGGACTCTGCAGGTTTCGTTTGATCATTTGGTGGAACTTTCAGGTCTGACCTTAAACCTGTTAATTCTGACAGCAAGCAGGAGTTACATAGAAGTAAATGTAAAAGTAAAAAAATCCTTGGTGTCATGAATGCGTGCTGTTATTAAATCCTTTCCTGATCAGTTTGTTGTCTCATTGAATGCATGTTCATTTTGTAAAAGAGGGTTCCTATCAGTGTCCAGCATGACAGTAATGCAGGGTATCTTTAAGGGCGGTACCACCATATGAATGACAGGTTGCTACATGCGGCTTCTATCGGTTTCTTAGTCAGGTCCATCTGCGTTCATGATCAAAGCTAAAATGACAATGGAGAAAATACTCTGATTGAGAACTTTGAAAATAGGAGTAACTTTCACTATATTTAGATTTAAGAACCCAGTGTCCAGGTGGATCTATTTGCAAAAATAACTTATAGTATTCATAATTTATTTTAATTGGTATATAATCCCTGGAAAATAAGAACTTTTGCAGCTTTATTGCCCCACAGCAAGAATGGGAACTATTTCATGGAGTATGATCATTGCATCTGTCTGCAGTCTGTGATTTCACTGCTAAATGCCAGAAGGTTGTGTACTTATTTGACTTGCCTTCAAATTATAACACCAATATAAACCTAACTATGCATAATACACAATATTAGACGTATTACAATGAATAGAAAAGTGTTTTATTTTAACATACATACTTATTTGTTACATCGGGTTGCTGCAAGTTTTACAGTTCATAAAATACATGTAAATAAGATCAGTGTGGTTTCAAACTGAGGAAAGAGATTTAATTTCCTCTGAGGATGGATTCATCCAAACATAAAACATCTCTTTGATTATGTAGTGCAGTCAGGATAAATACATTAAATCACCTGTTATACAGATTAGGTACATAAAAGTGAGGAATAAAAAGGACGCTGGGCCAGGTCAGGTCAACAACCAGCCATCCATTTCTTTACCCCTTGATGATGAGAGAGCTGATTTGCTGTGGCATTGTGTAGACAATGAGGACGATGAAAAGCGTGAGGATGGTGATGATAACCAGAGCAATGATATACTTCTTGTATTTCTTCCAGATGAGGAAGACGAAGGTCTTCATCGGGTTGACGAACCAGGCGAAGCTGGTGGTGGGACGACTGGAGAGACAACAGAAGACAGTTTATGTGTTCACACCTGGGCTGTGGAAGCCTACAGGCTGGGTCACACCAAATTCAAAACATCAGTGTTTTACCACAAAATAAACTTTCCCTGCTAGTGACCAGAAACGACAGGATTACAAAATTAGTACATCAAAGAAACAGATCAGGCTGAGCGGTTTGGAGACAAAGGTAGAGAGACAAGACTGAGATGGTTTGGACATGTGCAAAGGAGGGAGAGTGGATATACTTGATAAAGCATGCTCGATATGGAGCTGCCAAGCAGGAGGAAAAGAAGAAGCCTATAGAGAAGGTTCTTGGAGTAGTAAAAGAGGACATGCAGAGGATTAGCTGGAAAGAGGAAGATGCTGGAGATAGCGGGGATGGAGGCAAATGAGCTGCTGTAGCAACCACTAAAGAGATCAATCAAAAAAAAAAGAAAATGGTTTTGGTTACATTAATCAGGGAAATTTAGAGATGAAAGAAAAGGAAGTTAAAGACGGTTATAAGAGAGTATTCAAGTGTATAAATATATTAACTTGAAAAAAAGAAAAGAGTTGTAGTGTGCATGTGGTAGTGCACGCAGTACTTTGGTTTGTCCAGAGGCTCTGGCTCCTTGCGTGCCCGACCCACAGGGTTGGCCTCCGCCTGCTCCAATGTCACCAGCTGAAGCTCCGCCTCCACTTTTCCCTTCATAGAGACAAGTTTGTGTTAAATAAAATTCATTTTCTTCATTTGCCATTATAAACTCAAAGACCAGAAGGCCAAAAGTGGGGGAAAAAGCTTTTGCTGCTGCAAAACTCTGTTTAAATTTCTCTTCTTGTGCCAACAGACACAGATGTTCTATAATTTAATTGAATATGTAGTTACTGCTTCTTGAACTGAAGTGATTCAGATGGATTTTTGTACCATTAACAGGAAAGTGTTGCCCATGCTGTCAGTGTACTGGATGTCCTCCTCTCTCAACTGGCTCCTCTTGTCTTTGTTCTTCTTTTTCTTTTTGCGTCCCTTCTTTTTGGCTTCCTCCTTCTCCTTCTCCTCCCTCTCAAAGTCCTCGGCGGTCTTTGGACGAGTCAGGGGCCACCAGCCCTTCATCTTCTTGGCACGAAAGATTGAGAATCGAGGGCTGGCCCGATCCTTCGCCATCGAAATCGTACACTTACCGGATGACTTTGCCGGTCGCACCATGTCGCTGAGGCGCAACTCTATTGCACCTAGCAGATGAAGCATAAAAGAGGAATGACTGGGTGGAAGAGTCGGAGGTAAGGACTCTTTAATCTTGTGACACATTTTAAACAGTGGATGGAAAAATAACAGCTCAGCCGTGAGTTGAATAAAGCTGAAATAACTATTTCAGAAACATAAAAACATTCATTTGTTAATTGCCAAGATTGTTACTTTAGGGCAGCTGTGGTATAAACCATACACTGGGTGGTGGTCTAATAATTCTTTTAAGGGCTATTAAGCATTTCCTAATTGACAGTGTTGATAAGCCTGTGTGCCTCACCCAGGAAGTCATTGGCAGCGATGCGATCGTAGTCCCAGACCTGCAGAGCCAGAACAGCCGGCTGACGAAACTCTGACTCCTCCAGAGAGAAGATGGACTCCTTCTTCTTGTACACCACCTCTTTCTACAGAAGGAGAAGATGCATTTTTAACAAACATGATACGTCTCCAGTCATTTTCTAGTACCTCTAGATAACTATGTGAAATAACTAACAGATAGAAACACATATTTCATGTATTGTGACACTGTTGGTTGTTTGTTTGTTTAA